ATTTTTATCATTACATTATGGAAAATAATGACCTTTATCACAATATGCTAATTTTTTGAGAAGGACCTGTATAACGGACTGAACACCTGAAGTCTTAACTGCGTACTTTCAGTCTTGTTTTTTATACTTACCAGAAGCTACTTTAGGTTGATTACCCACAATGCCCACAGTGCGCCCATTCATTCTGGCAAATCCCACCACAATGTTTTTAGCATAGGTGGGCATAATCTCAAAGAAGTCCCTCTCGTCTACTATCTAAACAGACGCATTAGGAAACAAAGTTTAGCCTTTTAATGGAGCTCAAACACAATGTTGGACCACTAAGTGAGGATGAACGTTTAGGCACGCACAGCGTGAATGATGTCCAACATGTCGTAGGCCTTCGTTGACTCTAATGGGACAATGGTGTCCAAGGACTTCACCAGGCGATCGCTGCAAATAAAGACAAAATGTCAGCGAAAAGTCCAAAGACAAGTTAGTGTCCAAATAGATGCTGCAGTTTACATTTCATACAGTCCCCCAGCTTTAATAGAAATGGGTAAAAAAAACAAAGGGACTTTGTTACACAGCAATCTGGACCTGAATGAGGTCATTTACCTGGGGTCATGGCACTCCCTGATGGGGGCCGGGTCCTGATTGCTCAGGGGCAGGAAGTTGAAGAACTCCCGCAGGTTGAGCAGAGCCTCCACGTCATTCTCAAAAGCACAATGAGCCACACCTGAGAATAAGAAGCGGGTTCAACAAGCTGCTGTGGATAAACCTTTACACAACGGTTGAGTGATCCAAACAGAAATGTTCTGTTCTGGACACAAACGATCTGACCCGACACAGTAGTGTGAGTTTTGGCTCCACCGAGCTCCTCCTGAGTCACATCTTCATTGGTGACGGACTTCACAACATCTGGTCCTGTGATGAACAGGTATGATGTGTCCTACAAACAGCAGAGGTTAACATCCTGCCAGCTGTGCAGTTAATGTCTGTAGGTGGGCTTCAGCATGAGCAGCCTCAAACCTTAACCATGAAGGTGAAATCTGTCAGGGCCGGGGAGTAGACAGCCCCTCCTGCACAAGGACCCATAATGAGAGAGATCTGAGGGACGACTCCTGAAGCCAACACGTTCCTCTGGAAAACAAAAGTTCATTGTTTTGTTCTTTCTAATGACAAGACAGACTAGAGTACTTAAACCAGGACGGTCCATTCAGAGCATTCCAAGGACAAAAAATGGTGCAAAATTTACAAAAATGCAGCATGTCAGGAAATACTGGTAAAAGTCCCACAGCTATCAGACTTATTCATTTCAAAATGATTCAGACTGTGAAGCAAGAAGAACACGATAACAAGAATATACCAGAAATATATCTGCGTATCCAGCCAGGGACTCCACTCCCTCCTGGATCCGAGCTCCTCCGGAGTCGTTCAGTCCGATGACAGGAGCCCCAACGGTCAGAGCCTGATCCATGATCTTAACACGCAGTAATGAGCCAAAGGTTTTGAAAACATGAACCGTCACCATGCACATAATCAACAGCTGGCAGTTTATAAGAGATGACAGGCAACACGAACAAAAGAAAAACGAGTGCAGGTTTGTTTGTTTACCTTACAGATCTTCTGAGCATGAGCTCCAGACAAGCTGCCACCAAACACTGTGAAGTCCTGCAACAAGCAGACAGCGAACAACTCAAACATGAGCCAGTCAAAGGGAGCGGTCACTGTTTTCTGTCCAATCATATTCACCTGGCTGAAAACATACACCAGCCTGCCGTTGATCCTGCCTCGGCCTGTCACAACACTGTCGCCAGGAAACTAGGAGGAAAAATACACTTAATCAAATTAAATGAAGAAATCTCTTTTTTTTATCTAGTATTTTTTTTTGTTACCTTGTTTCTGTCGTGCTCCATGCCAAAGTCAGAGCAGCGATGCTCCACAAACATGTCCGTCTCAACGAAGGACTCTGGATCCAACAAGAGCGCCACCCGTTCCCTGGCTGTCAGCTTACCCTACAAAACATTCAATTCATTTATACAGCACCAAGTCACAACAGGAGTCGTCTCAGGGACTGAACAGAAACATTCATAAATATATATTGAAAAAAATTAACATTATTTATCTGAGGAGCAGCTTTGAGTTTAACTCCATCACAGAACTCTCATCTTGAACAAGCATGAAGGCGACAGTGGAAAGAAAAACTCCCTCATGAGGAAGAAACCTTTAGCAGAACCGGGCTCGGGATAAGCGGCCATCTGCTTCGACCGGCTGGGTTTGGTAGGAACAGATACACAATGGCAGGCCAAGAATCACATGTTAAGATAGACATAGTATCAAATGAAAACTATTCAAGTTCAACAATTCATTTAAGGAAATGAGGTCAGTTTGTCCTCTAGTAGTCTAAGTCTATAGCAGCATAACAAGCCTAACTATAGGATTTATCAAAAAGGAAAGTCTTAAGCCTAGTTTTAAAACTGGACAATGTGTCAGCCTCACGGACAGAAACTGGAAGTTTGTTCCACAAAAGAGGAGCCTGAGAACTGGAAGATCTTCCTCCCATTCTGTTTTTGTAAACTCTAGGAACCACAAGTAAACCTGCAGTCTGAGAGCGAAGCGCTCTGTTAGGAAAATATGGAACAATAAGATCTGTACTATAAGATGGAGCTAGGTTGTTGAGAGCTTTGTAGGTTAGAAGTAAGATTTTGAATTCTATTCTGGATTTGACAGGGAGCCAATGGAGAGAAGCTAAAACTGGAGAGATATGATCTCTCCCAGTAACTCCAGTTAAGACTCTGGCAGCAGCATTTTGGATCAACTGAAGACGTTTTAAAGAAGTATTTGGACACCCAGATAATAAACCATTGCAATAGTCCAGTCTAGACGTGACAAATGCATGGACCAGTTTTTCTGCATCATCTTTAGATCAGATGTTTCTAATGTTAGTGATATTACGCAGGTGGAAGAAGGAGGTTCTAGTAACGTTTTTAATGTGGGGGATAAAAGACATGTCCTGATCAAAAATAACACCAAGATTTTTAACATTAGAGCTGGAGGACAGATTAATGC